GAGCAACAGGAGGATGTTTGTGTGTCTGTGTGTGTTGTGTATTGTGTACGTATTGTTTGTGTATATATGTATTGCATTGTGTGTTGTGTAACAATAGCGAGTGGGTGGTGGAGGGATGTGTGGAATGAGTGAGGTCCGGGTCAGGGTGATGTCGGGGTCAGGGTGAGGTCGGGGTCAGGGTGAGGTCGGGGTCAGGGTGAGGTCGTGGTCAGGTCAGGGTCAAGGTGAGGTCAGGGTCAATGTGAGCCCTGGGTCAACGTGAACTCGGAGTCAAGGTGAGCTCGGGGTCAATGTGAGCTCTGGGTCAATGTGAGCTCTGGGTCAATGTGAACTCGGGGTCAAGGTGAGCTCGGGGTCAAGGTGAGCTCGCGGCCACAATGTCGGGGTCAAGGTGAAGTCAGGGTCAAGGTAATGTCGGGTCAGGGTGAAGTCGGGGTCAGGGTGAAGTCAAGGTCAATGTGAGCTCGGGGTCAAGGTGAGTTGGGGGTCAGGGTGAGCTCGGGGTCAAAGTCAAGTCAGGGTCAATGTGAGTTCAGAGTCACGGTGATCTCGGGGTCAAGGTGAAGTCGGGTCAAGGTGATGTCGGGGTCAAGGTGAGCTCGGGGTCACGGTGAGGGGTGTGCGACCTCCGTTTACCTTTCGGGGAGTGTCTGGGGGCTGGCATGGTGATGATGGTGGAGGTCGGAGGGAGGTTGGGGGTGGCGGTGGTGGTGGTGGGGGCGTCTAGGGGTCACGGGGGTCACGGGGGGGGGGTCAGGCAGGGAGGGGGAAGGGGGCAACAGGAGCATTGCATGCAGGGAAAGGGCATCGCGGGGTCAGAATCCGGACAGGAGGGAGGGCGGGGGGGTGAGAGGTTAGATTCTCGGGTCAGGGGTGAAAGGTTAGGAGATTAGAATGGCGGGTTAAGAGGGGGTCGAAGGCGAGCCGGGGGGGGGGGGTCAGGGGTTAAAGGGCGGAGGTGGCAGTTCAGCAGATAAATGTTGAAAGGTCAGGGGGAGGTTAAGGTGTGGGGGTCGGGGGTCAAGGTGTGGGGGTCGGGGGTTGGGCAGTTCACGCAATCGTAAGAATAATAAGTCAAGAGGTGGTGGTGGTGGGGGGTGAAAGTAAGAGTTATATTTGGTAGGGGGGGGGGGGGGGGGGGGGGGCGGGGGAGGGGCGGGGGGGGGAACAAACGAAACAAAAACTCAGCAGCAAAAAAAACCTCGCGGAACCAAGGGGAGGGGTGGGGGGGTGGGGGGTGTGGGGGGGGGTATGGGGGGAGGGGTGGGTGTGGGGGGTGTGTGGGGGGTGTGTGGGGTGTGGGGGGGTGTGGGGGCGTGGGGGGTGGTGTGGGGGGTGTGGGGGGGGGTATGGGGGGAGGGGTGGGTGTGGGGGGTGTGTGGGGGGTGTGAGGTGTGGGGGGGTGTGTGGGGTGTGGGGGGAGGGGTGGGGGGTGTGGGGGGGAGGGGTGGGGGGGTGTGGGGGGGAGAGGTGGGCGGGGCCGCCCCGGTTCACGCTCAGCCCTTTCCCTGCCGCTGGCGTCACCACCGATGGCCAATCGACGGTCACCCCCAGTGGTCTGGCCCAGGGTCACCCCCAGTGGTCTGGCCCAGGGTCACCCCCAGTGGTTCTGGCCCCAGGGTCACCCCCAGTGGTCTGGCCCAGGGTCACCCCCCAGTGGTCTGGCCCAGGGTCACCCCCAGTGGTCTGGCCCAGGGTCACCCCCAGTGGTCTGGCCCAGGGTCACCCCCAGTGGTCTGGCCCAGGGTCACCCCCAGTGGTCTGGCCCAGGGTCACCCCCAGTGGTCTGGCCCAGGGTCACCCCCAGTGGTCTGGCCCAGGGTCACCCCCAGTGGTCTGGCCCAGGGTCACCCCCCAGTGGTCTGGCCCAGGGTCACCCCCAGTGGTCTGGCCCAGGGTCACCCCCAGTGGTCTGGCCCAGGGTCACCCCCAGTGGTCTGGCCCAGGGTCACCCCCAGTGGTCTGGCCCAGGGTCACCCCCAGTGGTCTGGCCCAGGGTCACCCCCAGTGGTCTGGCCCAGGGTCACCCCCAGTGGTCTGGCCCAGGGTCACCCCCAGTGGTCTGGCCCAGGGTCACCCCCAGTGGTCTGGCCCAGGGTCACCCCCAGTGGTCTGGCCCAGGCGTCACCCCCAGTGGTCTGGCCCAGGGTCACCCCCAGTGGTCTGGCCCAGGGTCACCCCCAGTGGTCTGGCCCAGGGTCACCCCCCAGTGGTCTGGCCCAGGGTCACCCCCAGTGGTCTGGCCCAGGGTCACCCCCAGTGGTCTGGCCCAGGGTCACCCCCAGTGGTCTGGCCCAGGGTCACCCCCAGTGGTCTGGCCCAGGGTCACCCCCAGTGGTCTGGCCCAGGGTCACCCCCAGTGGTCTGGCCCAGGGTCACCCCCAGTGGTCTGGCCCAGGGTCACCCCCAGTGGTCTGGCCCAGGGTCACCCCCAGTGGTCTGGCCCAGGGTCACCCCCAGTGGTCTGGCCCAGGGTCACCCCCAGTGGTCTGGCCCAGGGTCACCCCCAGTGGTCTGGCCCAGGGTCACCCCCAGTGGTCTGGCCCAGGGTCACCCCCAGTGGTCTGGCCCAGGGTCACCCCCAGTGGTCTGGCCCAGGGTCACCCCCCAGTGGTCTGGCCCAGGGTCACCCCCAGTGGTCTGGCCCAGGGTCACCCCCAGTGGTCTGGCCCAGGGTCACCCCCAGTGGTCTGGCCCAGGGTCACCCCCAGTGGTCTGGCCCAGGGTCACCCCCAGTGGTCTGGCCCAGGGTCACCCCCAGTGGTCTGGCCCAGGGTCACCCCCAGTGGTCTGGCCCAGGGTCACCCCCAGTGGTCTGGCCCAGGGTCACCCCCAGTGGTCTGGCCCAGGGTCACCCCCAGTGGTCTGGCCCAGGGTCACCCCCAGTGGTCTGGCCCAGGGTCACCCCCAGTGGTCTGGCCCAGGGTCACCCCCAGTGGTCTGGCCCAGGGGCACCCCCAGTGGTCTGGCCCAGGGTCACCCCCAGTGGTCTGGCCCAGGGTCACCCCCAGTGGTCTGGCCCAGGGTCACCCCCAGTGGTCTGGCCCAGGGTCACCCCCAGTGGTCTGGCCCAGGGTCACCCCCAGTGGTCTGGCCCAGGGGCACCCCCAGTGGTCTGGCCCAGGGACACCCCCAGTGGTCTGGCCCAGGGGCACCCCCAGTGGTCTGGCCCAGGGGCACCCCCAGTGGTCTGGCCCAGGGTCACCCCCAGTGGTCTGGCCCAGGGTCACCCCCAGTGGTCTGGCCCAGGGTCACCCCCAGTGGTCTGGCCCCGGGGCACCCCCAGTGGTCTGGCCCAGGGTCACCCCCAGTGGTCTGGCCCAGGGTCACCCCCAGTGGTCTGGCCCAGGGTCACCCCCAGTGGTCTGGCCCAGGGTCACCCCCAGTGGTCTGGCCCAGGGTCACCCCCAGTGGTCTGGCCCAGGGGCACCCCCAGTGGTCTGGCCCAGGGGCACCCCCAGTGGTCTGGCCCAGGGGCACCCCCAGTGGTCTGGCCCAGGGGCACCCCCCAGTGGTCTGGCCCAGGGGCACCCCCAGTGGTCTGGCCCAGGGGCACCCCCAGTGGTCTGGCCCAGGGGCACCCCCAGTGGTCTGGCCCAGGGTCACCCCCAGTGGTCTGGCCCAGGGGCACCCCCAGTGGTCTGGCCCAGGGGCACCCCCAGTGGTCTGGCCCAGGGGCACCCCCAGTGGTCTGGCCCAGGGTCACCCCCAGTGGTCTGGCCCAGGGTCACCCCCAGTGGTCTGGCCCAGGGGCACCCCCAGTGGTCTGGCCCAGGGGCACCCCCAGTGGTCTGGCCCAGGGGCACCCCCAGTGGTCTGGCCCAGGGGCACCCCCAGTGGTCTGGCCCAGGGTCACCCCCAGTGGTCTGGCCCAGGGGCACCCCCAGTGGTCTGGCCCAGGGGCACCCCCAGTGGTCTGGCCCAGGGGCACCCCCAGTGGTCTGGCCCAGGGTCACCCCCAGTGGTCTGGCCCAGGGTCACCCCCAGTGGTCTGGCCCAGGGGCACCCCCAGTGGTCTGGCCCAGGGGCACCCCCAGTGGTCTGGCCCAGGGTCACCCCCAGTGGTCTGGCCCAGGGGCACCCCCCAGTGGTCTGGCCCAGGGTCACCCCCAGTGGTCTGGCCCAGGGGCACCCCCAGTGGCAGCTGCCTCTGGGCGCCAGTCTGCCGGTAGGTTGGCGGCGACTGCCGTGTGTCATCATCCCAAGTGGGGAACTCTCCACCACCTCCTCCTCCTCCACCTCCTCCTCCTCCTCCTCCACCTCCTCCTCCTCCTCCTCCACCTCCTCCTCCTCCACCTCCTCCTCCTCCACCTCCTCCTCCTCCTCCTCCTCCACCTCCTCCTCCACCTCCTCCACCTCCTCCTCCTCCACCTCCTCCTCCACCTCCTCCACCTCCTCCACCTCCTCCTCCACCTCCTCCTCCACCTCCTCCTCCTCCTCCACCTCCTCCTCCACCTCCTCCTCCACCTCCTCCACCTCCTCCACCTCCTCCTCCTCCACCTCTTCCACCTCCTCCTCCACCTCCTCCTCCACCTCCTCCTCCACCTCCTCCTCCACCTCCTCCTCCTCCTCCTCCACCTCCTCCTCCTCCACCTCCTCCTCCACCTCCTCCTCCTCCACCTCCTCCTCCACCTCCTCCTCCACCTCCTCCTCCTCCTCCACCTCCTCCTCCACCTCCTCCTCCTCCTCCACCTCCTCCTCCTCCACCTCCTCCTCCTCCACCTCCTCCTCCTCCTCCTCCTCCTCCTCCACCTCCTCCTCCACCTCCACCTCCTCCTCCTCCACCTCCACCTCCACCTCCTCCTCCACCTCCTCCTCCACCTCCTCCTCCTCACCACCACCACCACCACCCGACCTCGTCTCCACTGCCCATTCCCTCCCCTCGTCCCTCCACGACCCACACCCTATCACGTCTCCCCCCCCCTCTCCCCCCCCCCCCCCCCCCCCCCCTCCCCCCCCTCCCCCCCCCCCCCCCTCCCCCCCCCCCCCCCCCGTCTCACCATGCACGATGAGGGTGAAGTCGCGGTGGCTGCTGCCCACGGCGTTGCGAGCCAGGCAGCGGTACGTGCCGTTGTCGCTCTTGTTGAGCGCCCCGATGCGCAGGCCGCCCTTGCCGTCCAGGTTGACGCGCTCAGAGAAGCCCCCGCCCCCGCCCCCTCCTCCCTCCGCCTCCTCGTCCTCCGCCTCCTCGTCCTCCTCGTCGCCACGGCCGCCAGCGGCTCCTCCTCCTCCTCCTCCTCCTCCTCCTCCTCCTCCTCCTCCTCCTCCTCCTCCTCCGCGAGGGCCCCACCAGACCACCGCCTGCGCCCTGGCAGCGACGCGGCCGCACCGCCGTTGAGCGGAAACAAAAACTATCAGACTCCGAGAGGGCGGCGGTTACCGTGGTGACGTCGTCGTCGTCGTCGTCAACGGCGACAGCCACGGCAGGGGTTACCACGGTGATGTCGTCGTCGTCGTCGTCAACGGCGACAGCCACGGCAGGGGTTACCACGGCGACGTCGTCGTCGTCGATGACAACAGCCACACCAGGGGATTACCACGGTGACGTCGTCGACGGCGACAGCCACGCTAGGGGTTACCACGGTGACGTCGGCGTCGTCAATGGCAACAGCCACGCCAGGGGTTACCGTGGTGATGTCGTCGTCGTCGTCGACGGCAACAGCCACGGCAGGGGTTACCACGGTGACTTCGTCGTCGTCGTCAATGGCAACAGCCACGGCAGCGGTTACCGTGGTGATGTCCTCGTCGTCAATGGCAACAGCCACGCCAGAGGTTACCGTGGTGACGTCGTCGTCGTCGTCAATGGCAACAGCCACGCCAGAGGTTACCGTGGTGACGTCGTCGTCGTCAACGGCAACAGCCACGCCAGGGGTTACCGTGGTGACGTCGTCATCGTCGACGTCGATGACAACAGCCACACCAGGGGGTTACCACGGTGACGTCGTCGACGGCGACAGCCACGCTAGGGGTTACCGTGGTGATGTCGTCGTCGTCAATAGCAACAGCCACGGCAGGAGTTACCACGGTGACGTCGTCGTCGTCGACGGCAACAGCCACGGCAGGGGTTACCACGGTGACTTCGTCGTCGTCGTCAATGGCAACAGCCACGGCAGGGGTTACCACGGCGACGTCGTCGTCAATGGCAATAGCCACGGCAGGGGTTACCACGGTGACTTCGTCGTCGTCGTCAATGGCAACAGCCACGGCAGGGGTTACCACGGCGACGTCGTCGTCAATGGCAACAGCCACGGCAGGGGTTACCACGGCGACGTCGTCTTCGTCGTCGTTAATGTCGTTGATGTGGTGACTCACGGCGGTTTGTTGTACTGATGACGATGATGATGTTCGTGATGACGATGATGCTGACGATGATGATGATGTTGATAATGCTGATGACGATGATGTTGATAATGATGACGACGATGATGTTGATAATGATGACGACGATGATGTTGATGATGACGATGATGATGTTGACGATGACGATGATGACGATGATGTTGACAATGATGACGACGATGATGTTGAGGACGATGATGACGATGATGTTGACAATGACGACGATGATGTTGATGATGACGACGATGTTGACAATGATGACGATGATGTTGACGATGATGACAACAATGTTGACAATGTTGACGATGTTGACGATGATGAAGATGATGACGACGATGATGAGGATGATGTTGATGACGATGACAGTTGACGATGACGACGATGACGATGATGTTGACAATGTTGACGACGATGACGACGACGATGAGGATGATGTTGACGACGACGATGACGATGATGAGGTTGATAGTTGAGACGATGATGACGACGATGATGAGGACGATGTTGACGACGATGACGACGACGACCATGACGATGATTACGATGACGACGATGATGACGACGATGACGTTAATGACGATAACGTTAATGACGATAACGTTGACGACGATGACGACGATGAGGATGATAGCTGAGACGACGATGACGACGATGATGTTGACGACGATGACAATGATAGTTGAGACGATGACGACGACGACGACGACGTCAATGGCGACGTCAACGACGATGCCGCCGTGCCCACTCACGGCGGTTTGCTGTCCACGTCGCACTGCAGCTGCAGCTCGGAGCCTTCCACCGGATTCCCCGCCGGCAACAGGCGGCGGATCGTCACGTCCGGCTTGTCTACAAAGACAAAGGTCCCCCGGGTAGCCTTAACAGACTGTAGGGGCGAGTGCTGGTAGCGAGCACACACAAAGACAAAAGTCCCCCGTGTAGCCTTAACAGACTGTAGGGGCAAGGGCTGTTAGCGAGCACAAAGACAAAGGTCCCCCGTGTAGCCTTAACAGACTGTAGGGGCGAGTGCTGGTAGCGAGCACACACAAAGATAAAGGTCCCCCGTGTAGCCTTAACAGACTGTAGAGGCAAGTGCTGCTAGCGAGCAGCAGCACCTATGAACACACAAAGACAAAGGTCCCCCGTGTAGCCTTAACAGACTGTAGGGGCAAGCGCTGCTAGCGAGCACACACAAAGACAAAGGTCCCCCGTGTAGCCTTAACAGACTGTAGGGGCAAGTGCTGCTAGCGAGCACACACAAAGACAAAGGTCCCCCGTGTAGCCTTAACAGACTGTAGGGGCAAGTGCTGCTAGCGAGCACACACAAAGACAAAGGTCCCCCGTGTAGCCTTAACAGACTGTAGGGGCAAGTGCTGTTAGCGAGCAGCACCACCTGTGAAGGCTACCGGTAACGGCACACGAGGGGGCGGGCGGGTCGCCAGCACCGCGCCCGGCCGCCTTTGTCTCCCCGGTGGCGATGTTTACTACGCGCAGCGCACACCGGGTACTCATTTGAGGCCGAGTCGACCTAGGGGAGGCCCGGGACCGGTTCGGATGATCGTCACTGTGGTGTTGGCAGTGAGCGGGAATCGAACCCGGGTCGCCGGGTTCGTAGCGCAGCGCGCTAACCGCTACACGACCGCTACACGTACACACACACAACAACCGCCATTCGCCACTAAGTGGCGGTGACGTCACCACGACGCTTGTGCCAGGCCATGTGCACCTTGAGACCACGTGAAGTGTCGAACGCCCGCGGGCAGGAGGTCACGGGGCAGACCCAGGTGCCACGGGTCGACTGACTGAGATGACTGGCTGATGCACCACCTGTGCCCCCTACTGTGCCAACCTGCTGTGCTTTAGCCACCCGGCGCTCCGCTCGTTGTTGTGAGCGTCGCTCCTCCGCCCCCCGTTGTTGTTGGAGGGCGACTGCCTCCAACTGCCCAATAGCGTCCTTCACGAGCCTCCTCCACAGAGGGCGATCTTGATACCGCTGGTACCGGTCATCGGCAAGTCCACTCAGCTCCACGTCCTCCTGCACCACGTCACTCCATCTCTTCTCTAGCCCGTGTCGCGCCTGTTTAGCCCCCTCGATCCGGCCGAACAAAAGCTGTTTCGGCATGCGGTGGCTGGGCATGCGGGCTACATGACCCAGCCATCGCAGCCTTGCCTGCCGGAGGAGCTCACCGATGGGACCTTGCCCAGATCTTTCAAAGATTTGTGAGCTCCTCACACAATCCAGTCTGGTTAAACCCAGGATGGATCGTAGGCAGGCCAGCCTAAATGTTTCTAACCGGCGAAGATTTTCCATTAGGGGAGTCCACGTTTCACAAGCATAGAGAAGGGAGGGAATGACCGTGGCCGAGAAGACCTGAAGCTTGCTGCGGAGCGACAGACCAGGTAGCGTCCACACAGCGTTACACAACCTATGAAAAGATATTGCCGCTCGACTGATTCGGAGTGAGACCTCTGCTGTTAAACTGGAGCCGGTCATAAGCACACTGCCCAGGTATGGGAAACTCTCCACTCTCTCCACAACTCCCCCATCACCGATTTGCTGGGGCTGATGGTAAGGCCCCATCTTTTAGTAGCACGCTCCAGTCTCAGCAGCAGCGTCTCCAACTCCTCCTCTGAATGAGCAGCTATTACCAAATCATCGGCATACATAACGTGGTTGAGCAATAGGGAGCCATCCCTTGACCGCACCTGGGCATCGATCAGCCTCCCATTATATCTGTACCATATGGAGATTCCCCCGGTACAGCTATTGAAGGCTTCACGAACTACGTGGTCGAAATAGATGTTAAATAATGTGGGAGCCAGAGGACATCCCTGTCGCACCCCAAGGTGTACAGGGAATGGCTCGGACTCCCGGCCACGTAGTTTTACCCGGGCCCGCTCACCATCATGAAGGTCCTTAATGATCGTGAGCAGAGGGTCCGGTACTCCAAAAGCACGAAGAACAACCCAGAGCCCAGGCCTACTGATGGTATCATAGGCCTTGACCAGGTCAATAAAGCAGAGATGTAGGTCTTGCTGGAATTCCCTACACCTCTGCTGTAGCAGACGGACAGAAAATATGGCATCTGTGCAGGACCACCCTTTCCTGAAACCGCATTGGGGCTCCGCAAGCCTCTCCTCAGCGTGCCTGGCAAGGCGATGTTGAATAATCCTTGCCAGGACCTTTCCCGGCACACTGAGGAGTGAGATGCCCCTGTAGTTGTTACAGTCTGTGCGGTCCCCCTTTTAAAAGAGGGTCCCCCTTTTAAAAGAGGGGGACCACCAGGGCATCCTTCCAATCCTGCGGAACCCGTCCAGTGGTCCAGACTGTTGTTATGATGTCATATAGGGCAGTCTGTGCACAAACGCCACCCTCCCTCAGGTCCGACAAAAAAACCCCTACCCGATACCTCCTCGCGGTGCCGGACGGGCAACTCTGTCGTGGACAGTGCTGTGGGGGGAGGGCCAATTCCGATTGGCTCCTCCCCTCATGGCGTCTGTGACCACCACAGGGGCTAAACGGGGGCTCTGGACGGGTGCGAGGGGCTGGTAACCCCTCCACCTTCAATAAATTACCACGAAACTATGACACATACACACGCACACACATACACACGCACACACATACACACGTACACACATACACACGGGGGCGGGCCCCGAGGGTCACCTCCGGGAGGTGGGCGTGACCGGGGGCGGGGCCCGGGGGGGGGTCACCTCCGGGAGGTGGGCGTGACCGGGGGCGGGGCCCGGGGGGGGGTCACCTCCGGGAGGTGGGCGTGACCGGGGGCGGGGCCAGGGCACGCCGAGGCCTATATAAGCGGCCCGTGTCAAGAAGGCAAAGGCATCGTGAAGACGCGTCAAGAGAAGAAAGTGAAGCGTCCGGTCAGCGTGACCCAGCCAGGAGCCCGCCTGGCTGGGTCACGCCAGTAGCATGCGGACGTCGGTGTAAGAGAGAGAGAGAGAGGGACGGTGTGTGTTAGAGAGAGGAGGTCGGTGGACACCACCGGATGTTAACAGTGTTACAGCGAGCTATAAAATAGCGTTGCCTCCCAAGCAGTTGTGCGTGTGTGTGACTAATTAAGCCCATTGCACACGCGCGCGCACGCACACACATACATACATACGAGTGTGTTGGCGAGTGTGTTGGTGAGTGAGTGTGTTGGTGAGTGTGTTGTCGAGCGTGTTGGTGAGTGTGTTGGTGAGTGAGTGTGTTGGTGAGTGTGTTGGTGAGTGTGTTGGTGAGAGTATTGGTGAATGAGTGTGTTGGTGAGTGAGTGTGTTGGTGAGTGTGTTGGTGAGTGAGTGTGTTGGTGAGTGTGTTGGTGAGAGTATTGGTGAATGAGTGTGTTGGTGAGTGAGTGTGTTGGTGAGTGTTGGTGAGTGAGTGTGTTGGTGAGTGAGTGTGTTGGTGAGTGAATGTGTTGGCGAGTGTGTTGGTGAGTGTGTTGGTGAGTGAGTGTGTTGGTGAGTGAGTGTGTTGGTAATTGAGTGTTTTGGTGAGTGAGTGCGTTGGTGAGTGAGTGTGTTGGTGAGTGTGTTGGTGAGTGTGTTGGTGAGTGTGTTGGTGAGTGTGTTGGCGAGTGTGTTGGTGAGTGAGTGTGTTGGTGAGTGAGTGTGTTGGTGAGTGAGTGTGTTGGTGAGTGAGTGTGTTGGTGAGTGAGTGTGTTGGTGAGTGTGTTGGTGAGTGAGTGTGTTGGTGAGTGTGTTGGTGAGTGTGTTGGTGAGTGAGTGTTGGTGAGTGTGTTGGTGAGTGTGTTGGTAAGTGAGTGTGTTGGTGAGTGTGTTGGTGAGTGAGTGTGTTGGTGAGTGTGTTGGTGAGTGAGTGTGTTGGTGATTGAGTGTGTTGGTGATTGAGTGTGTTGGTGAGTGTGTTGGTGAGTGAGTGTGTTGGCGAGTGTGTTGGCGAGTGTGTTGGTGAGAGAGTGTGTTGGTGAGAGAGTGTGTTGGTGAGTGAGTGTGTTGGTGAGTGAGTGTGTTGGTGAATGTGTTGGTGAGTGAGTGTGTTGGTGAGTGTGTTGGTGAGTGTGTTGGTGAGTGTGTTGGTGAGTGTGTTGGTGAGTGTGTTGGTGAGCGAGCCTCACTCACAGTGCACGGTGAGCGTGACGGAAGACGAGAGCGAGCGTGTTGGTGAGTGTGTTGGTGAGTGAGTGTGTTGGTGAGTGTGTTGGTGAGTGAGTGTGTTGGTGAGTGTGTTGGTGAGTGTGTTGGTGAGTGAGTGTGTTTGTGTGTTGGTGAGTGTGTTGGTGAGTGAGTGTGTTGGTGAGTGAGTGTGTTGGTGAGTGTGTTGGTGAGCGTGTTGGTGAGCGAGTTGGTGAGCCTCACTCACAGTGCACGGTGAGTGTGACGGAGGAGGAGAGCGAGTGTGTTGGTGAGTGTGTTGGTGAGTGTGTTGGTGTGTTGGTGAGTGTGTTGGTGAGTGTGTTGGTGTGTTGGTGAGTGTGTTGGTGAGTGTGTTGGTGAGCGTGTTGGTGAGTGTGTTGGTGAGCGTGTTGGTCAGCGTGTTGGTGAGTGTGTTGGTGTGTTGGTGAGTGTGTTGGTGAGTGTGTTGGTGTGTTGGTGAGTGTGTTGGTGAGTGTGTTGATGAGTGTGTTGGTGAGCGAGCGTCACTCACAGTGCACGGTGAGCGTGACGGAGGAGGAGAGCGAGTGTGTTGGTGAGTGTGTTGGTGAGTGTGTTGGTGAGTGTGTTGGTGAGTGAGTGTGTTGGTGAGTGTGTTGGTGAGCGTGTTGGTGAGCGTGTTGGTGAGCCTCACTCACAGTGCACGGTGAGCGTGACGGAGGAGGAGAGCGAGTGTGTTGGTGAGTGTGTTGGTGAGTGTGTTGGTGAGTGAGTGTGTTGGTGAGTGTGTTGGTGAGTGAGTGTGTTGGTGAGTGTGTTGGTGTGTTGGTGAGTGTTGGTGAGTGTGTTGGTGAGCCTCACTCACAGTGCACGGTGAGTGTGACGGAGGAGGAGAGTGAGTGTGCTGGTGAGTGTGTTGGTGAGTGTGCTGGTGAGTGTGTTGGTGAGTGTGTTGGTGAGTGTGTTGGTGAGTGAGTGTGTTGGTGAGTGTGTTGGTGAGTGTGTTGGTGAGTGTGTTGGTGAGCGTGTTGGTGAGTGTGTTGGTGAGTGTGTTGGTGTGTTGGTGAGTGTGTTGGTGTGTTGGTGCGTGTGTTGGTGAGTGTGTTGGTGAGTGTGTTGGTGAGCGTGTTGGTGAGTGTGTTGGTGAGTGAGTGTGTTGGTGAGTGTGTTGGTGAGTGTGTTGGTGAGCGAGCCTCACTCACAGTGCACGGTGAGCGTGACGGAGGAGGAGAGCGAGTGTGTTGGTGAGTGTGTTGGTGAGTGTGTTGGTGAGTGTGTTGGTGAGTGAGTGTGTTGGTGAGTGTGTTGGTGAGTGTGTTGGTGAGTGAGTGTGTTGGTGAGTGTGTTGGTGAGTGTGTTGGTGAGCGAGCCTCACTCACAGTGCACGGTGAGCGTGACGGAGGACGAGAGCGAGTGTGTTGGTGAGTGTGTTGGTGAGTGTGTTGGTGAGTGAGTGTGTTGGTGAGTGTGTTGGTGAGTGAGTGTGTTGGTGAGTGTGTTGGTGAGTGAGTGTGTTGGTGAGTGAGTGTTGTTGAGTGAGTGTGTTGGTGAGCGTGTTGGTGAGTGAGTGTGTTGGTGAGTGAGTATGTTGGTGAGTGTGTTGGTGAGTGTGTTGGTGAGTGAGTGTGTTGGTGAGTGAGTGTGTTTGTGTGTTGGTGAGTGTGTTGGTGAGTGAGTGTGTTGGTGAGTGAGTGTGTTGGTGAGTGTGTTGGTGAGCGTGTTGGTGAGCGAGTTGGTGAGCCTCACTCACAGTGCATGGTGAGTGTGACGGAGGAGGAGAGCGAGTGTGTTGGTGAGTGTGTTGGTGTGTTGGTGAGTGTGTTGGTGAGTGTGTTGGTGAGTGTGTTGGTGTGTTGGTGAGTGTGTTGGTGAGTGTGTTGGTGAGCGTGTTGGTGAGTGTGTTGGTGAGCGTGTTGGTCAGCGTGTTGGTGAGTGTGTTGGTGTGTTGGTGAGTGTGTTGGTGAGTGTGTTGGTGTGTTGGTGAGTGTGTTGGTGAGTGTGTTGGTGAGCGTGTTGGTGAGTGTGTTGGTGAGTGTGTTGGTGAGTGAGTGTGTTGGTGAGTGTGTTGGTGAGTGAGTGTGTTGGTGAGTGTGTTGGTGTGTTGTGAGTGTGTTGGTGAGTGTGTTGGTGAGCCTCACTCACAGTGCACGGTGAGTGTGACGGAGGAGGAGAGTGAGTGTGCTGGTGAGTGTGTTGGTGAGTGTGCTGGTGAGTGTGTTGGTGAGTGTGTTGGTGAGTGTGTTGGTGAGTGAGTGTGTTGGTGAGTGTGTTGGTGAGTGTGTTGGTGAGTGTGTTGGTGAGTGTGTTGGTGAGCGTGTTGGTGAGTGTGTTGGTGAGTGTGTTGGTGTGTTGGTGAGTGTGTTGGTGTGTTGGTGCGTGTGTTGGTGAGTGTGTTGGTGAGTGTGTTGGTGAGTGTGTTGGT